TACATACACAACGAAAAGTCACAGACTGTCCAATGCGACAGATAAATGTCACTAACCACAAGTATGCATTCATGCAGTTATACAGTGTAATCAATTTTTGTACATTCATTAAAGAATGACATCCGTATGCAGCAGTATGTGCTTTTGGAAATGACTGCTTAATACATGATCTGCTAAATTTTTCGTTTTGTTTTTGACGAATTACAGCCCTACACGACATTTATAATCGCGGAAAATGACCTGTTGGTAGGATTGTTTGTTTTTTCTTGAAAAATATTGATTAAAAATTAATGTATTGTCATATAGGTATTTGCATCAATCACTTTTAATTGATTTTTGTTTTGTATTGAAATAACCTTGCATCGCCATGAGACACGGCAAAATGGTGCGTTTTCGAGTTGCACATGCTACCAGAATAAAATGTTCGAAATCTTAAGAAAATAATTTTTCTTTCTCATCGCATCGCTTCATCGCCAGGTTGATACTTACACCCAAATTATATAAAAATTCAAACAGCTATGTTTATTAGAGATACTAGAGAAATATTATGCAAACACAGCAAGAAAACTGAAGAAACATACGCGTATATCTCGCGGGCCTGTTAAGAATACACACTATTTGAGAAACTTGACAAATTCAGTCTACTTAGCCCGCTATTATTTAAACAAGGTTTCAAATTGTCAGCTTAATTTTATATGTATATTAAAATAGCATGAACATTCAATACGAATAACATATTCTCTTTCCACGAAATAGTAAGTTTATTTATGAGCTTTCGTCAGATTATAGTCTAACTTCTTCAGATGAAACAATATATGGCGGCAAATGATAAAGATCAATAGTAAGTTAGAAATAATATACAAAAAAAATACGAGAATATTAGAGATGGATGGGTTGAGTCTGTCTCTATTGTGCTGTCTAGAAGAATGATATTGAGTCGTTCCAGGTTTGGCCATTTGTAGATGTTCCAGTGTTTGTTTTTGAACTTTCTTGTTTGTTTTGTTGGTGCTTGTGTTTATTTTAGAATCTTTATCCTTGAGTTTCAGTCTTTTAAGCTCTCGACAAAGATATAACCAAAGATTACATTAAAACGGGCTGCGACAACAAAATGATACCAACATCTACCAAGCTCTCGACAATGATATATATATATAACCAATTAAAAGACTGGAACTCAAAGATAAAGATTCTGAAACAAACACAAACAACAACAAAACAAACAAAAAAGTTTAAAACGAACACTGGAACATCTACAAATGGTCAAACCTGAAACGACTCAATATCATTCTTCTAGACCAGCGTTTCCCAAACCGTGTTCCGCGGAAAATAAATGAAAAATACGTCAAAATGGGTCGCCATGGCGATTTGTCCCAACTGACCGTTCAATATCGCGTCACCGTCGACCTAAAGCAGACCAACTAAGGTATGGTAGTGGTATTTCCGTTACCCGTCGGCCTGGCTTGTTGACTGTTAAGTTCATTATTAAGTTTGCAGCAATCCTTTCGGTTTTGCTATAGGGCATAGGCAAACAAGTAGGTCTAAGAATAAAGGCAAATGGTCATCTCTTCTTCCGCCATCTCTGCCTGTTTTTACTTTGAAATGCCAAAAAAAATACTCATTTTCGCTAAACTCGATTCAGCAGATAAGTAAACTGCAGCTCGCGAAGTTGCAGCAAGTACTTCTATCTCCATTAGACTTAACATTAGAGGCAAACACTACGTAATGGAAAGCAAACGACATAGAAAGATAAAATGAATTTGTTGATTCATATACACAGCATTCAAATTAAGAAACAATAAAACATTTATAATAATTATTAAATCAAATATGTAAAATATTCAATCACATTTTAGGTATGTTTAAAAAAATTCTGTTAGTTTTCGAACCCATTCAGAACCGCTACATTACACCGTTTTTTTTTTATCAATTTTACCCCTTCATTTCTTGATGTTCCGCGAGGCGAGATAAAAAGTGTAAGTGTTCCGTGGCCGAAAAAGTTTAGGAAACGCTGTTCTAGACAGCACAATAGAGACAGATTCAACTCACCCATCTCTTATATTCTCGTAATTTTTAGTATATTATTTCTAACTGACTATTGATCGTTATCATTTGCAGCCATATCTTGTTTTATCTGAAGAAGTTAGACTATGATCTAACGAAAGCTTATAAATATATATACTTACTACTTCGATCAAAGAAATTATGTTAATATTATTGGACACGTGAGTGAACTTATGGATCGTTTTGATATTATGTTGTTGTTCTTGTGCTTGTTGATATTCTTCTCCTTCGTCATGATAAAATCGCTTTTCTCTTCGAATACTGGACCAATTGCTTTGCTTCAGTGGTTAAAGATTGGTTTTTAAACCAGAAGGCTATTACTTTTATTTATTCCTAAATTTTCTATGAATCCTATGAGATCTAATATTTCATCCAAAATTGCGCTGTATCACTTTTTTATTATGAGAACACGGTTTCTAATCCGCCAAGCGTGACGGCTGACTGTGAAAATTCTTGCGACTAAAGAATCGGAAGTTTTTTGAGGGTACGGTACTGGTAACGTCAAAGGTACGGACTGCTTCGCTCTGGCCCACGTGTCCATATATTTGAGCGTTGCTCTGACTTATTGGACACGAAGTGGACATAACGATCGTTTCAATATTATGTTGTTGTTGTTCTTGTTCTTTGACACGTTTTTAAAAAGTCGCTTTTCTCTTCGAATACTGGACCAATTGCTTTGAAATTTTCAGTGGTTAAAGATTACTTTTTTCGCTAGAAGGCTATTACTTTTATTTATTTCAAAATTTTGCGTGAATTCTATGAAATTTGATATTTCGTCTAAAATTTTGCTGTATTTTTTTTTTTATTCATGGGAACACGAATTTTAGTCAGTGTCATGACTGGCTGTACGTTTTGATTCTGCAAAATTCTTGCTACTGGAAATTCAGAATTTTTTTGAGGGTACCGGTAGCGTCAAAGGTACCGGTAAGGACTGATTCGCTCTGGTCTAACGTGTCCATATATTTGTGCGTAGCTCTCTTGTTTATCTTCATAATACTAACCCGTTCAAGCATCTTTGTGGCAGTTGACACATACGGATCCGCAATAAAAAGTGAACTAGAAGAAAGGACTTGCAGTTCAATACACGATACACTGGCCTAGTACAACATTTAATACGATATGGTTTCAATGATTTTTTTTTTATGTCAATCACGTGTCAACAAAATGAAAAACCATGCGTTCATAAACTATATTTAATATTAAAACTTTTATTTATTTTAGATTTTTCATTTCAAGGCGTAATAGATTTTTAAAAAAATGTATCAAATTGATTTATGATTCTACAAATATGTTGTCTACCTTGACAGATTGCATACCCGTACTACTTCAATTTAGTTTTCGTGTCCATATATTTGAACATCGCTCTCTTGTTTCTATTGACATATAGGATTGACAATTTTGCGCGACGGATGTAAGTCTGTGTGTCTAATGTTAAAAAGGTCATTTGGAACACATTCTAGACTAGAGCAGTGATTTCCAAACTTTTTCATAGTAGGCTAATGCCATCGTCGGTTGTGAATTATCGAAGTATCTAATCAGAGTCGACCGTCTAAAAAAAATTAATGGCGAAAATTGAAATTAGAATCCACATATTTATCTCGGGGAGACGAAAGCCTATAATACGTCTCAATTATATGGCGAACCACGACTTCTCGTCCGGTCACTAGTCCATGACAGGTATGGGATTAGTTAGATAATTATTTTTTTCAGATGCATGGACTTCAGGAGGAAGCCGTAGCCGACCAGCGGTAACGTGAACCACCTTTCGTCGGCGAGGAGTCCAGCAATCTTCTTTCGCATAATCATCACCAACAAGATTTGATCCTGCGAATCCACGAAAGGTATACAGTGGTGCGGTGGCGACCATTCTTAACGCTTGGGCACAATGCGTTAGATCGTCGAGAAACAAGTCTTTAATGATATTCACATATTTATCCCGGGGAAGATGGAAGCCGATAAGACCAGTGGTCGTCAACCACCGGGCCGCGGCCCATCGCCGGTACGCGGAAAGGTTACTGCCGGTCCGCAGAGAGGTCACACAAAAACAGACAAGGCTGTAATAAAACCTCTACAATCTAACTACAAACCATACGAGACTAAAAACAGCACCCAGCAGCGAACACAACACTTTTGAGTATCATGTCTGACTTCACAAACAATTGCAACGTCAGTATGTCGCAATAATGCTGGATCAATTGTTTTCTCTACACCCGTATGAGAATGTCTCTCATCGGTCGAATAAGATCCTTCCAACAAAATGATTCTCGCTAAAAACGTGACTACTTCACTACTGGCTCGTAGCTAACCGGTCATACCTAGTCAGTTCTAATTCTATACTTCAGAATCAGGATAATCATAAAGTGAGCACTTCGGGTAAAAAAAAAATAGTTTTATAAAAACAAACATCAAGCAAAGCCCAGATGCCCAGTCTAAGGTCGGAAGGTTTACATTGTTACCTTTCCCGAGATCTTATTATTGTGATGCTTGGTTTTCAATATTGACAACTACAAAAACGAAATATCGAAGTAGGCGAGATGCAAGAAACATGTTACGTGTGTTAACTGTTAATGTCTGCTACATCTCCAGCGTAGGAACAGTTAATGGCCAGCAAACACATACAGATATCGCATTAAATAGCATGGCCGTCGTTTTTAGTATATAGTCAACATAGATTTCCGAATGCGTATAATTTATTGCATTAGCTTAGTTCGTTTGTATAAAGGTAGTCCGTCAAAAGGTAGGCATTACCGGTCCGTCACTTAAAAAAGGTTGCCGACCACTGGATAAGACGGCCTAATCATATGGCGAACCACGGCCCCTCGTCCGGTTGGACTCCATGAGCAATTTCGCTTCAGCGAAAACTGTTCATTAAAACAGAAAATTTAACTTTATTTTTGCCACTCACTTTGATTTTCGTGTGCAAGATCTAGCTTATTTTGTTTTCGCTCATCGGTTCCGGTGTGGTGTCTGCGTATCCGAAATATACAGTTGAATATGTAAAAAATCATTCATCTACTGCAGTACTGGGGGTCGGACGACATTGTTTAGTAATAGTTCTACAGAATTGCTGTGTCAAGTCAGAGTTCTCAGCGATCGACACGTGTACCTGTCTCTGTTTGTCTGTACATGTATTAGACTGTATTACAGCATTGATTCAGTATTTATTATTTGAAATTTAGAACCTTATCTTTTGGTCCAGTTATGGCGCAACAACTTGTCAGCATATTGGCAAATCAACGTTCTATTTTACAAACTCCAGGATTGTTGACTGTCACCTCCAAAAGATTTTGGCGTTATGATAAAAAGGGCAATTTAAAAAAGCGTAGAATTGCTCCAGACTGGAGAAAGGTACCGGTATCTTTCTTTTCAACCAGAGTGCTAACTACAGCATTATAGTATTTTCTAATTAAATTAGAAGTACCGGTATTAAGTTAAAAGTAACTTACAACAATAAATATGAACTTCTCAAAGTTTAGAAGTTTTAGCATTATACCAGTTATACAATTCTCCTTTTCCAAAAATGAATGAAAATAATTTGTTCAATCAAATGTGAAAAAAAAAAATTTGCCGTAGCATTCGAGAGTTCTTAGCAAAAAACACGATGCATGATGTGATTGATTTGAAATATTACGGTATCGATTTGAATCATTGCCATCACTCCAAATGCTCTCTTTTTCGCGACGAATTGAGTGTTTGTTTCATTGAACCAAATGTCTGGACATCTTGGATTCTGACAACCGTGCCCTACTGAATTACGTAAAACAGTATAATTAATGTCTTCAATAGTCTTGCTACAGCACCTTTGTGTTATATGCAGGCTGGCATAGAAGAAGGATAAGTAGTTGATTCGCAGAAACCCATTCAATAGCATCATCTTATTTGATGGGTCATTTTTGTATTTTAACACTTTTCACGACAGAGCGACATAGTTTTCAAAATTAACTGAATTATTAAGCACATGATCTCATTCATATTTTAGAACATTTTATCATTACCTCACTAAACTGTGATTAAAAAGAATACAACAGTAATATTGTTGTAGTTATTATCAGCATTTCTTGCAATCTTGTTTGTGATTGCTATTACAGTATTAAGCAAACAGGGGACTACTATCCTTGATTTTCTAATTTTTTACACTTTTATTGTATTAGATTGATCACAATCCTGCAAAAATACCATGGGGATGGATACCCGACAGTTGGAAAAAAGAAAATAAAGTAGATTATGAACGGGAGAAACAACTTGTTAAATTTATTCCAGGGTAAGTAAATATTTTCAAAGAATTTACACAAAATTCCTGCTGTTATGTTATTAATGCACCTATACAATGGCCTCACCATCACCGGTATACCAGACTGGATTCCATGGCAGATGCACGCCCGAGGGCGCTAGTGCTCCACAAAAATGCACGCGAGCGAATTCAATTTTGTACGCCGAAAATTTGCAATTGCTCACCAATGTAAATCGGTTTAAATAGTTTTTAAATCAATAATCTAGTAATATAAAGATGCCAAAAAATTATAACTTTACAATTGTCGACTAATACTTGCTTGCAAGATTTGGCCTGATCGAAAAATGCGAAGCAAAAATTACCATATCGTGTTGAATGATAGGAATCCCGTGAGAAAAATCGCCTCCTCACCGACGCTGGCCAGTTATGGCTCTGATTCAGCGTATTTTTAATACAATAATTTTACACGGATGTACTGAACAGTACCGGTATCTAAAGTCGCACAAACACTCTCAAAATTAGTGACAAAATATAGAAATGATGTTTTGGGGGGTCAAAGGTCAAACGTCCATTTTTGCTATGATCCAACTTATTTTTACGCGGATGTATTGAGAGGTATCTTAGGTCGAAATCAGTTTAGCGGGCGCAGTTGTTTTGCACGCCGTGAGCTATAATTGCACGCCAGAAATTCTTATTTGCACGCGGGAATTTCTGATTGCACGCCCGATTTCTCGTTCGAAAAGGCTATGAAATCCAGACTGGCCGGTATAGGCGTATAGCCAAATCTTTAATTAGACTTGGATGGTATGCCGATAAATCTAAAATCTGATTTGGCTCAAGATCTGAACTGCACAAGAATGAATATTTTCTGATTCTGTTTTTTTGTGATCGTGTGCATGAAAAAAGATGGATATTGGTGCACTGACAAAAATTGTGGTTGTTTGAAAATATATTCACATGAATTATTGAGTTTGATAATGCATCAATATTTTTAAAGGTATAAACCACAGCTTCGAGTTTATGAAGAACCAAATTATCATGAAGAACCTATTTATCAGCTAACGTCAAATACAAAATTATTGGAAGGTTTGAAGCAATCACTCTACCTAACAAAATGTGTCTTGTTTGAAGATCTACCTGAACGAATCCAACAGATTTCTGAAAATGTCTCCATCTCGAATCAAGATGATAAGATCATTCAGGTGCATAAAAGTTTTGGGTTTCGTACCTCACATGCTTCTAGTGGGCGGTAACATACCAATTTTTGCACATGTCAATCCTAACCCTCACCTGATTACGCCATTCAAAAATTACATCGCTACGACGTCACAATCACATCATAGAGCTTGGCAAGGTGTACCTACGATTGCCCGAAATGGCATCTGCGTCGACGATAAAGAGCTCACTAACGGTAGAGATCTCTCTCATATCGGGATCGCTGCGACCAGGAAACAAAGAAATAGCTTGTGTTAAATGACAGTCACTGTGACGTCATTTTTTGATGACGCATTCAGGTGGGGTTTAGGATTGACAAAATTGTTGTAGTTCGCCCACTAGAAGTACTTAAGGTACGAAACTACACTAGACCCAAAATTTTAATGTGGCATCAAGATTTGTTTCTTTGTTCAGAATGTATTATTATGAATCCATTTGTTCATAAACTTAATAAGATTTTATTTGAATAATGCCATATATATGTATTTAATGTATCTGATACTATCTAAGTTTAAGCAAGTTTTTTTCAACTAATGTTCAGCAGCTCCCTGCCCGTACAGTCCAGGAGTTTCCACAAGCTTCCATTTAAATCTTGAAGTTTATATTGATACCTTGTTTAAATATACTCAAATATCTATTAAGTTTACCACTATTATTAAACTTACTAACTATAAGGATCATTCTGTTTTCAACCCTTATTAATTTAATTTATATAATCATAGTTTATATAATTTAGACAACAAAAGACAGCTATGGTAAGTTATTAGGCAGGGGTTTCTCGGGTGCTCCCGTAGTATGCGAACCAATATGGTTGACACCGGAATGTAGTATGTGTACCAGGTTAAGGTTAGGCCATAATTTTATTCCAGTTTTCCTTATTTTAGTTCTATAATTCAGGGATGGCCAATTCGAATAAAGTATTCGAATATCTCGTCATTCGAATATCGGAATTCACGTTCATAGGAATATCGGATATTTGTGTGACGTCACACATTTTCGACGCCGCTTTCAAGACCTTTCCGTTGAATGAAAACATTCTCGATAGAAACTTGCGCGTGATTATTTTCATCACTCATCAGCGTAACGTGTTATTTAGGTCGTAAACGCCTTTACGATTGTATTATTTTCTCTAAAACGAAAATTTTCCACAAATTCGTTCCACGATAACGATAACATTTATTTTATTTTTGTACGCGCACGGAATTGTGAATCTGGTAAATACGTTCATTGGCGGCGAGTTTCTAAGACAACGCAACTTTTTGATTGAAAAGCGGCAATTTAAAATACTGAAAATAAAATCGTAAACAATATAAGTTTTATTGAGGCGCGCGAAAATTAAAAAACGCTCTTCTAGGCAGTGAAAATCGCAGAATTTCGTGTGCCTCTGGCACACATTATGTTTGGTCGGCGTTTAGAAACATATCGTCACTAATTGAGGCGTGATTTGCCTGATTATCCATTACTTTAAATTGCCGTCGAATATTTTCGTGTTAACACGATACAAGGGTTTGAAACGCGACTTTTTCCCGGGTTGTGAGGATGTATATAATATAATCAATCTAAAGTATATTCAATCAATTTTATTGTGATGAAATAAATTTTACTTTGAGATATTACTGCATATTTGTGGATTTTTCGAACGGTTTTATCTTAAAATAATCAGAGTGGCAGCATTTCGATCGAGCGGAGTCACTGTTAACAAGTACATCTAAATATTTGCCCAATTCGCAAAATACGGACCAAAACAATATTTAATCGGACAGTTTACCTCACGTTTTTATTTTTATAACCGCGGATTGCAATGGTATAAAAGAGTGGTGAGGATTTTATTTTGTCGACGCAACCGCAGGTTAAATTGAAGACAATTAAATTAATAAAGCAAGACATTTTAAATACGCGTGTCGGTCACGAATTCAACACTTTGCACAACAGAAAAATATATATTCGTTGTTATATTATTTGTTGTAAAAGTCGACTCTTTTAACAGGTGGCATAATCGCGGCGATGAATATGTATTTTTAATTCACTGCTAAACTTTATATGTATATTCATTGTATGAAATGAATTATACTCTACAGCAGTGATTCTCAAACTAGGGTTTGAGAGCCGCATGCAGCTCTCAATAACCTTTCCTGTGGCTCCCGTTAATGTTTTAAAAATTAATTATTTTCAAAGAAAATTTTTCATTGAAAACTAATCATTGACTCGAAATTAAAATGCTGAAGTCTATTAGTTAGTCGAATGGATTTCCCCGTGTTTATTTGCGTAGCGTTGACTAACCTATAAGATGCAATAGTGACGCAACAGTGAGCGTTTTCGCGGCCAATCGGACACTTTTTACTTGGAAAGATTTTAGACATGGCTGTAATCATTGGCTTGCTTTCGTGGATTTTCAGTTTTTGTCGCATTTCCTGATCTTATGTATAAATCAAATAACTCGATGAATATTTTAATTTCTATAGCATTTTAATTTTGTTCCAGTAATCGAAAATAGTCCGAAAAATCTGGCGATCATCTGAAGCAGCTACTTGCCAGCTTGCATCCTCACGATACGACCCGCTTTGACAAACTTATTAGAATCATAGCCTAATTAAAAAGCTGTTCGAGTGGGGTGGCAAAATTGAATCTTTCTACGAATCGGATAATTTGAATGTTTTTTTTATACATAGCAGGGGATCCAGAACGTCGGAGGTCGATACTCCATTTGGAAATTAATAGAAACATTAAAAGTCGGCAATAAAGCGTTTTTTAATGGTTAATTTTATCATAATTGCTGATTGTCTTTGTCACCGGGATCGTTTTGGCGGCGATATCCTAAAGTTGGTATTCTATATTTCCGCCCTTTCTCGTTTTTGCAAGAATAAGGGGTCGCCGAATATTCGAAATTTCATATTTCTAGTATACCCTTGCGTTTCACATCAGCGACAGCTGTTGAATACATTTAAGGACTGATTTCAAAACCAAATTATTCTATTCTAAGGTTATCCTCTGCCTTGGATTTCCGATCTTCCGTATCACCACTTGTAAATTAACGTGCATGTTTAAGTGAACGGTAACCGAGATGCAGATATTTATTATAATGATATTTAAGTTTCTTCATGGCTTTTCTATGGGTGTCCGTGTTTTTTTTAGTATTAGATAGATAAACCTAGCAAACTTACGATTGCGTGAATCCTGAATGTTGATTTAAAATAGCGATTAAATTAATTGGCAATAAAGGCATTTCTAGGCCTTTGTGCCTAATAGAGGGTCAGACGCTAATTATACCTAATTCCTTCAGGTTTTAACGTTTTTTTTTTCCAACAAAACAACACCCCGATGGTTATTATAGCTAAAATACGTACTGAGTAATGCTCAATTTTCTTTACGGAATTTGCAAATTCAGCACTTCACTTAATGATTTTGATTATGTCATGCCTTAAGGCTTAATTATTACTGCCCAAATGCTTCAAAATTTAACAATTGTAATTATTTCGATGATAATGGACGCAACAATTCGTGAACGAGTCAGTGTGCATTGTTACAACGAAATTCACGATTGATTTTACGTTCTACTCTTGGCTCAACGGCCATGCAGGGTCGAGTAAAATGTTTACATATTCGAAACATTACTTGGCAAAGGATGGAAGGGATCACTAAAGAGCTAATACAAAGTGCTTTAAAGGGAGTAGGACATGATTATCTGGTTACAACTTAATGAGTGTTTTCCATACAAGTAACTCATACCAGCTTTTGGAAAAACTTTTGGTCATTTTTAAATCCATGCTATTTACATAACAAGAGTGTTTTAACGACCTAAAATCGCCTTTTTCACAATGAAATGCCGAAAAGTCATTTCAACATTTAATTTCAAGCAACTTTATGTTCGGTAATGCAAGATATGGCTAATGACATGTCACCAAGCATGCCGAGTTTAAATCTGGGAAATTTATTTTAAATACCTAATCTGGTTTGACGTTTCTAAATTTACGGAGCGGTCGGTACGTTTTTTTTGCAAAATGATGAATTGAAAGGATACGTTGTGCAAAAATAGGCATATAACACCATAACGCAAAGACGACTTTTCAAATTTTCCTTTTTTTTTTTGATAGCGAGCGCCGTTGGGAAATCTCGCACAATTCACGATTGAGTTGAAGACGCTCGAGTTCGGTGTCCAAGCAGAGCAGCGCAGGTCACGTGGTACCGGATATTTGAATCGTAAAATGTCATTCGAATATTTTATTATTATTTATTATAAAATTTTGCCCAGCCCTAGTTGTTACGTGTGTTGTTGTGACGATGACTTGGTATTTTAATACGCACTTAATGGTATGTTGCTATTTTACCTTGCGTTGTTTGTGTGCGGCTCTTCATACCTTTGAGGTTTGAAATGCGGCTCTGGGACTAAAAAAGTTTGAGAACCACTGCTCTACAGTACACTTAACAGGATTTTATATAATTATTTGAGATTTTTCTAACGGCGATAACGAGTTGGCAAGATTGCAAAAAAACGTATTAAAACTAGAGCTGCGTGCAGCTTTAACAGGCTTCCCGCGTAAAAAAAACTGAAGACGCGTTTCGCTCACTGGAGCGTGAAAGCGTGGTCAGTCATGCATGAAATTTGCAATTTATGATGGGGGACTTATTATCTGCATGTGATGTAAATTTCAAGTCTCTAAGTAGTGTCGTTCTCGAGAAGAAGATGAAAATGTAAAATCCTATATTGCTCACTGGAGCGTATCGCCGAGGGCACTCATGCGTATCCTTGACATATCGTATCCGGAACATGTCTATTAATCATTGTTATGAATTTCAACCCAATAGCATGTATCAATATTGAGAAATCGCAAAAAAACTGAATACGCGTTTTGCTCACTGGAGCGTGAAAGCGTGGTCAGTCATGCATAAAATTTGCAATTTATGATGGGGGACTTATTATCTGCATGTGATGTAAATTTCAAGTCTCTAAGTAGTGTCGTTCTCGAGAAGAAGATGAAAATGTAAAATCCTATATTGCTCACTGGAGCGTATCGCCGAGGTCACTCATGCGTATCTTTGACATGTCGTATCCAGAACATGTCCATTAATCATTGTTATGAATTTCAACCCAATACCATGTATCAATTTTGAGAAATCGCAAAAAAACTGAAAACGCGTTTTGCTCACTGGAGCGTGAAAGCGTGGTCACTCATGCATAAAATTTGCATTTTATTGCTAGCTGAGAACTTCTGCACATTTGAGGTGAATTTCAAGTTTGTAGGACCAATTTGAAAAAAAAATAATAAAAATAAATAAATAAATAAATAAATAATAATAGTAATAATAAAACACAGGAATACAATAGGTTCCCTGCTGACAAGCAGCGGGAAGCCTAATTAAATACATCAGGCAGTTTATCTTGTAATTTTAGGTCACAGATCGCCGTGGACCGAACAGTAATGTTTTTTTTTTGACGTAAGAAGAAGCAACCGCGAGTTACGATGGACACATTAAATTAATATATAAAGATATTTCAGAATCTCGTAGTTGTCATGGATTGAATATCTTACGTAACAGAATGATCATTATATGCTGAAAAGACGGCTCTTTTAACGAGCGCGAAATCGCGGTGGGTGTTACAGGCGGCAATGGGAATTTCCGATTTCGAAAATCCTGGCTGGGCGCTGGCAGTGGTGGTCATCTATTCTCTACTAATTTATTTCTAATTCCAAACACAACAATATGTTACACATAATAACAATATGGTTCACATAAATTAATATACTAATATACTAGTAGGTAGTAGAATACCTCAGGCTTAAATATTAGAATTTTCAAAGGCATAATGGATTTTCGATTGTTGTTGCCTGTATTGCCAATAAATTTTTATTACTCTCAGAAAATATACACAATTATCTGAATACAAGTAGTATTTTTGTCAATAGACTTGACTATCATCGTAATATCATGGTACCAATGATAGAAAGAGAAAACTCTTTGGCTATCTTTTCATATGGTCATTTGTACAAAGTGAATAATTTTAATAAACTGACTGTCACAAGTTGCTATTATTTTTTATTAATAGCTATAAACTATCAATTACTTTGTGTACATATACTGTTGGTTTGTGACTTCATTCTGATATTTCTATTGAAGCTTATGTCCTAATTTACTGGGTTTTAATCAACTAAAACAAAAATGTGTTATTATCGATTTTAGAATGTATTCGGAATTCCAGATTCGAAAACATTATTTTAGAATGTATTCGGAATAGTTTAGTATTCGGAAATGGCCATCCCTGGTTCTATTACAACAAGTTCGGTGACTAGCTAAGTTACTCCCAGAGTATTTGTACCTGAAATTATGGCCCAACCTTAATTTGGAACACATACTACGTTCCGATGTTCGCCATCTAGGTTCGCGTACTACAGAAGTACCGTTTCTTGTGCCTTTGGAATATTTCATTGGGGTTCTACTATACTAATAAGGGGTGAAATCCACTGCTTTATGCAATGAATTTTTCAGTGGTGGAACTATAAAATATTCAAAAATACCTATTATTTTGCTGAAGGACCCTGTCTTTCTTCAGCAAGAATGCTTAATTTGACGCTAAATTGAAAATTATACGTAGGTAATTCAGTATTATATAAACACCTGAACTATTCGTACTCAAAGGCATTTTCCAATAGAAAGATCTGGAAATTTTGGGAATTTTTACTAATTTGAAACATTTCATTTTCTACATATTTAGATATTGCGTCAATGCTTGTTGTTTGATATTGATCCGAAGTATTTGGATAAAACAGGAACAGTTTTTTATGCTAAGCAAGATTATCAGTCTGTTCATCCAAGTCTTGAAAGGTAAAATTCTTGCTATACTGAAAGTTTTTAGCCGTTATCAGATCTCAAGTACAATACATTTTATATAATATAATCACTTTTATCATTTTATAAGGCAGTTTTATTTTTTTCTAGATATTGTCCGAATATCTCAGAGAACTTGATTCGATTGTGTCAGTCGCAATGTAATAAATATCCTGGCTTATTACGAAGAATACAAGCAAAAAATTTGGAAACGTCAGTTGTGTTTCGGAGAAGTAAGTACACGTTAGTCTATGATGTTTAACCAGGTATTTGTTGGGAATATACTACTGCTTGGAATCTTAATTTTGTCATTTTTGCCAAGTGGATCGTCTGTCTGGTTATATGGTCATTTTTTGGTTCTTATAAATAATTGTCATAGTTCACCATCGTAGCCAACACAGCTAATAATCCCCCAATTTTTTTGCATTTGAAGAAAAAAAAATGTCTATACTTCCATCAACCAATCTATATCAAATGACAGTCATATGAAATATTTAATAAGGAGTGCTCATTATTACATCAATAAAATTTCAGATTTCGTAAAGTTGGGTTTTTGAATTGAACTGAAAAAAAAATAGTTAACGACAGCAAATTCTGTATTATTCTATGATTACTCTTCGTTGAGTGGAAGTTGCTTCACAGTCGTCCCATTAACTTTCCAAAATAGAGGAAAAATACAATCATATCAAATTTACCATCTATGAAACTTCTGTATTTTTTAGTTTGTGATATTAGTAGAGATTCGGCCAGTCATCTTGGAAGAAACTGGTTGATTATGGTAAAAGGTTCAAATGCTATGCAATTGTTGGCTCCGGTGAGTATTTTTGTAAAAAAATGAGTGAGTGTGATAGTGATATCTGGTTTCATTACATTTGAACCCACGACAATTGCACCTGCATGTTATTGCGCCTATGGAAATTTATTTTTTTATGGATATTTGAACCCATACTAACTAACCCTAACCCATAGATTTTAGCATCCTTTTTTCAAATGTCCGGTCACCGTGATATGCATAAGCTCTTGGTCTAGTAAAGGACCTCTGCTGCTGTAGGGCTGTTCTTAATAAGTGCAGGCACAGATAAATAAATAAAAGCACATATTGAATAAGATGTCTCAGGGAATTACCAGTAGTTGGCAAAATTACTATTTTCTAGCAAAACTTGTTTGTTACAAAACCGTGTCAAAACCCAAATTTGCCTCATACGAAGTTTTGACGAATTTTTGATGTATAGTTTTACATGTCATCGATTGAATTATATGATTATACGAAATAACATGATTGTATATAATTATATGGCTTGAGGAATATAGTTATGCTATTTCCTTGTGTAGTTTTATCATTATTTCAGGATCCATTGGAAAACTTTGCAAATGAAACTCAAGTAAAGGAAACTGAAAAAATGGATTTGCCTGATATTTTTCCGGTGTTCCCAATCGTGGATTTAGAAAAATCTCAAGTTTATGAACCGGTCAATTCAACAGGTATTACGAATTAAGAAAAATTAATGTAAACTTCATTCCAATCCGATCATATTTTTACAAGCGGTCATGACTTGTCAGTGGAATATCCAATTGAACATAAATTACGCTGAAGTTGCTAACTGTTATCCCAACTTTTGGCTTCTCATTAAGAGTTGAGTGTCTGAGTGAGTTTTTAGTCATTATTTTGCTTTGAGAGCATTAAATTCCTTGGAGGTTATAAGACTAGGAGTGATTGTCCACTGACTATGCCCTCCCTGGTAATTGTATTAACTATTCCTCTTTTGATTGTAAATCTTATAAAGAGAACGAAAGTAATGTAAATACATCTTAAGAATAATGATTGCTCATCACTTCTTGTAAGTAAACTTTGGGTGAATTTCCCCAAAATTGTTTTGTTCTGTGTATAGTGATAAAAGACCAGAATATTCAATTTGTGAAATCTAAACTAAAAACTAAAATCTTTGTTTCCGGACAGTGTTAACTTGAATTATTTGTTTATAGTGTTGTGTCAACTATCTCATATCTTTGTCTTATATAGAAATTTAACTGTATATTAATGTTCTAACAATTACATAATCCTTACACTTGTAGTTGACGGCTCAAGATTTGCTTTGAGCAAGCTAGTATAGCATTGTACTGCTGCTCACCAGTAGTGTTTACTCGCTAATATTAACTTAATACTGATCTTCGTACCTAGGTCTATTGCCAGACTTCAGTCATTCACACATCCACACAATTGTGATGCAGAACACCAAGGGGTGTGCGCCTGAAGACTTGTATGGTCAAATGACATCACAATTATTCTCTGCGTTGTTTTCCAGAGCCATTGAATTGTATGGGGTAGGTATAATGTAATATTTAAATGCACTGAGTAAAAGGTATGATATAGGTTGATGTATTCCTGTGATGAATGATTTTTATTATATACTTTACATTGCCTTCCTTCAGTGACTCCCCACCCCCCAATATATGAAGTGAACACTCACCCTAATTTTGAGGTGTGACACCACACCACACTTTAATTTCTAACTTACCTAAAAATTGTATTTGAATATCCAGAAAGCGGTGTATATAGTATACCAATGCAGTTGAATACATACAGTAACACACTTTTATACCTTACAAATTAACCATCCCATCAATTAGAAACCTCGGCATCATACAGCTTTCCTTCTATATATGTGTTATGATGTAATGTCTAAAGAAGGAGTTTGGCAATAAGATATTCATATTTATCCCAGGGGAGAGAAAAGCCGATAAGACAGCTTAATCATATGGCGCACTATGGTGCCAGTTACCACATGTCTGGTATGGGTTTAGTTGGTCAGTTATTTATTTCAGATGCATGAACTGATTGTAGTGATGGATCTTTTATATTGGGATATATTACAGATCTAATTTCATGATAAAGGTCTTAGTTGGTCAACAATTAATCATAGTGAGTGATGTGGTGACCATTGACCAGCAAGTTCCTAGCGCTAGACACAGTAATGTCAGTTCCAGCCATTTCTCAACACTTTTACATTTTGCTATGCTAGCTGTCTTCTGGAATTGCATTTTAATATTGATACCTTACTTTCAAGGATGAACCGATGAATCTACCCAAACCAATATCAGGACAATGTATTGCATTAGATGGAAAATATTTTCAATTTATGTGCATGCAATTGAATACGACAAAGCTTGATTCAGATACAGGAATAAAAAACATGGTATGTTATAAATTAGCGTTTATTCTGATAGGCCATGGTGCTTTGTCCTTTACCAGTTGTTGGGTTCGGAAAAGCTAGACATGGAATTGTTCTAGCTAGACTTCTATAAATAATGGAAACATAAATAAATGACAAGTTGTTATTTGAATCGCTCTGTTGTGTACAGATGTCCAGTTACTATAATGCCCCCTTATCTGTGAACCCAATAGAGCAGGGGTTCTCAACCTTTCTCTGAGATTTTAAATCTGATCATGTACTGTAATCAAAGAGTCGAACTATTTGTTAGGTAGGGAAAAGTGTGAATTCATTGCTTGCAAAATTTACCCTCATAGCCTCATCAATGTATCTCAAATTTTCACCAAGCAGTTGAGAACCTGGTACTAGAGGCAAACATGTTTTAAGCCCATGAGCCTTTCTCTTAGAACTGAACTATTTACTTTTGGCTCAGGTTTGGATTGACAACAGACTAAAAGAAGTGGAAATTGAAACCTATGGTGAAAATTGGAACCATATCGTTTCTCTTCCATTCCGATGTATGAAGAATGTTCGCCAAGAACATGGCGTACACCAGATTTTTATACTGGATATGATCCATCAGTTTTTCAAACATTTTTATCACTCTGGTTAAATGGTGCAGTAAAAACTTGAAATAAGTTTGGCTGGGCATGAGCCATGACCTAAACGGTATGATTTCACGTTAAAAGAGATTGATAACGGCAAGAATTCTTAGTAGGACTTCTACAACATTTCATTCTTGGAAGTGTCCAGGAATTGTATGAAAGAGGATTGTGCTATGTGACTGGCATGTAATATGTACTACCACTGGAAGATTGCATCTTCTTATTACAGTCTTTGTAAAGATTTTCAATAAAAAGATCTAAAAGTACTATTCCATGCGGAGTAATCGAGAATGCTGAAAAAAGTTCAAAAAAATAGTTTTGTGTGTGCTTTTGTGAAATCGTTTTGAGCGAATTTATTCGTTATGAGATGTGGTGTTGTGTGTCCATGTAATTGTTATAAGGAAATTTAATACAATGGCCGGGAAAAGTCACTCTGTTGTCCCAGAGACCAGCGAGATACCGTTGTAGTCATTATTATATAGCGATCGTATATCGGTGGGACCAACACGTTAGTACTGGTGAAAGTGCATTAAATTTCCAGCCTTGGAAAAATCGTCGGGCAGGACCATGTTTTTTCAAATTCGTTCATGATCTGGGGATTCACAGCAGACTCCCAATCTTGATTGCAAAAATGGTGACTACGGTACCATTCCCTTTTGCGATCTATGGCCTCGCGATTTACATTGGGCAATACTTTGATACAAGTGGAAATCGGAAAACACTTACGAACACGGTGAAATAAATGTTTACCGTCTTACCGCAATAAATATATCCCGAGGTCGAGGAATAAACGCCGATTGGCTTCCTAGCACCGATATACAAAACTACTAGTGAAACAATCATTCGACGTTTCTGTGTGAGTAAGCGTTCATAATTGAAATCACTGTAAACACACAATTGTCAACAAATGTCTAAAGCCCATAAACAGATCAGTATAGTTTACTCGGCTATTTGTGAACAATGATTACCCATTGTGTGAAAAGAAAGTGTATATATATATATATATATACTGAATAACAAATACCAATTTCTCAATGACCGACGTAGTGCTCGATTGAGTTTGTGTGAAGTTATTTGTGTAGACACGAGGATTGTTTTAAGGTCGACGCCCTGCGTGATTTCTTATTGCCCGTAGACGGCGGTATAAACAGTGGCTCAGTTGTTGCCGTCTCCTTGTAGTTGAGATCACTTTTGGGTGTTGATTCTTCAGGGGTTCAAAGTTTTGTGTCATTTGAGTGGTCTGATTGGTAGCCGTCAACGTTCCTCGCGTGTAATTACGTTTATGACGTATGTGGGAATGCCCTACTTCGAAATATGTATTAATTGTGCTCCTAGGACAGGGGTGTCAAACTCACGGGCCGCATGCGGCCCCCAGAGAACTTCCAATGCGGCCCTCGAACGCTTAACAATAATTGTAATATTTTTGTAAGTTTTTTTATATGAAAGTAATACATTTTTTAAATTGATTATTCACGCAGAAAACGACAATTTAGGCTACTGAAAGTAGTTTTGGAAAATCAAATTTTTGTTTCGTTTCGAAAATGACCCAATAATGGATACACCTCAAGCTAGCAAAAGAGTACTTGAAAAAAATTTCAGGGATTAAATGAAACCCAACGTACATGAAGAAGGCAGTATTTTTGAAGAAAAATGGGAGTTGCAATATTTCTGCATACTCACAATTCTGAAACGCATTGTTTAATTTGTTATATTTCCATCAGTACAATGAAAGAATACAATATAAGTAGACATTATCAGAATAAGCTCAGCAGTCAATATGACAAATTTAAAGATCAACTTCGAACAAAAAAATTTCATGTGTTTGTATATTATTATTATTATACAACTACCTAGTTACTAAAAATCAATATCAACAATCATAACTCAAGCGGTCCTATGTCACGTAATGGTAAAAAATGTCGGGAACTGTCTGGTCCAAAAAGTCAGATATTTGTTTGTTTACAGATCTATACATGAAATGATAAACGTAATATTTTTGCATTACTGAAATTAATCAAACATTCTCAACGATCCAGATTTAACCGTTGATCATGTGACCTCGTTAATCAGAGTTGGTACTGTGGAATCATTTCAGCCTGATATTAGTAGCAGAGTTGGATCAATTGTAATTTGTAATTGATGTAATTAATTACAGTTTTTCATGTAATTGTAATTTAATTGAGGCAATTTCATTCTGTATAATGTAAATGTAATTTGCTAAAATTTTGGCTCAATTACACTTTCAATTAGAACAGGGGTCACTAAACTACAGCGTCCTTTCATCTGGCCCGCAATAACACGAAGAAGGGCGAAATATTTTCCCAAGGGGCGTTTTCCAAGAATCGCCTTCCTTTTTTATTTTGTAACATTAGCCTATCAGTAAGATGCAAAAAAGTGACGTAACAATATGCCTTTTCGCATCCGTTGAGACATTCAGACAGATTTTCAGTCGTGGTTGAAAACAATACCTCATTTTGCGATTTTTAGTGCTATTCGTTAGTTTGCATTTTGACAAAAACCCAATAATGTATTGGAAGAAGAAATATGAAAAATTTCCCAGGCTTGCTTCTTTAGCCAAGGATTATTTGGAACTAACAGAAAAGTCGCTTTTCTCTTCGATGACTGGACAAAATGCTCTGAAATTTTCAGTGGTTGAAGATGGAATTTTTTTTTAGAAGGCTATTACTTTCTTTATTTCCTAATTTCGTATGAAATCTGATATTTCGTCCAAGATTTCGCTGTATTATTTTATCCATGGGAACACTATAGCTGTCTGGTTTGATTCTTGCTACGCGAAACTCGAATTTTTCTGAGGGTAGCGGCAGCGTAAAGGGTAAGTGACTGCTTCGCTCTGTGTAATGTGTCCATATATTTGAGCATTGCCTTGTTGTAATTGGACACGTAGTGGACATAACGATCGTTTCAATATTATGTTGTTGTTGTTCTTGTTCTTTGACACGTTTTTAAAAAGTCGCCTTTCTCTTCGAATACTGGACCAATTGCTTTGAAATTTTCAGTGGTTAAAGATAAAAATTTTCTCCAGAAGGCTATTACTTTTTTTTCGCTATGACGTCATCAAAATTATGTGACTCTACGTGTCCATATATTTGAGCATAGCTCTCTTGTTTCAAATGTAATTGTAATTTGATATTTTTTGCACAGAGTAATTGTAATTTAATTGAAAAATTTAAGGGAGTAATTGTAATTGAACTGAATTAATGTAATTGGTCCAACTCTGATTAGTAGGCAGGTGGCACAAAAGAGATGCCAAACGTCAGGACATATGTAATAATGAAAAACATTGAGTTTATTCTGTAGTATTTTCGTTCATTTTAGGTCTATGTATTAAGTCATTTTTAGTGTATGTAATATTCATTCCTTGTCAAAACTTTGTTCAAAAATGTTTTGGATAGTTGTACATAAAAAAGTTATGATTACAGTGAATTGCAATATATAATAGTGAAATGCAAAGATTAATATGTAAATGGCATTTGAAAATTAAGAAAATAACAAAACTTCATTCGGCTGTTTAATTGCATCACAATATATGTCACAAACTAAATCTATCTAAAATATGCTTCAAGTATACATTATCAAAATACATCAAAAACTGTTTGCGGCCTTTTGCACAATTTCCAAAATGCAATGCGGCCCTCGAGAACCCACGAGTTTGGCACCCCCATCCTAGGATATATTGGTATGTAACGCCTAATAAATTTTTTGTCCGTCAGCGTTTTTTGCCCGTCAGCGTGACTAAATATGTATTGATAGAACTGTCTCATATTAATGACAACCCAAGTCTTATCCCATTTGTTTGGATGTGTGCCAGTTTGGGTTTGGATTCGAACGTGATCTCCAATATGCAAGGAATGTAGTTGTCGAAAGGGTACGTTCCAGCTTTCCGCAGCCTTCATGTGGCAATTCCTTAGAACTTTCTCTGTGGCTGCTGTTCAGTCCGGATTTGGCCCGCGAGCCGCAGTTTGCCCAGATCAGCTCTAAACTCTAGAATAGATTTTAGCTAGACAGGTGGATATGGCATCGCGGTACCATTTGCATGGTCTTACATTGATGGCGTGGCATTGGTGTCTTGTGCAAAAAAAATATTCATCAGGGTTTTCAAGTTGATTCCTTTCCCATCACTCAAATCGAGCAACTCAACAGCTTGGAAAAATGCATTTTCGAAGCTCCCGACTATACAAATGTGTCGTCACTTCGTTCTGTTGGGAGGGAAAGTCTGAGACCATTTCGTCGAAGCGTCTGCTGTAGACATCACCAGATGAAACAAGTGCAGTTTTGAGTATTTTGTGCCGTCTGAAGCTGCCGCAAAACCATGGCGGGATTTCCAAAATATTTTGCCGTCACATTTTTAGGGCCCTCAAGAATATATATGCCTTTGCTATTGGCTGCAGTCATTTGCATGGGTAGCAGATCGGAAGCCTTTACGTCCAGATGGAGAAACCACATAAACAGCCCTGACATATCGCGTCCACTATTGATCATAGGTAAATTGTTCGCTTTGGAGTCATATTTAGCAAAATCCGATGGTTTAGATCTCCATAAATATATTGAAAAATGGCTGTATATCAGCCCTGCGATTCACCCATCTTTGGTACATATCGGTGATGGTCCAAAAAGTCTCGTTGGACGAATGATTATCAACTAAAGACAATGAATTGAATGAATCAGGTTTTCCATGTACAGTATTCACTTTCCATGCCTTGTTTTTTACCACGACAAAATGGTGTTGTAACACCGAGCAGTAGTCTTATGAGAGCAGGACAGGGTTGTTTCCCGATTTTCAGCAGAGAACTTCAACGTCCCGTATCTCCGCAGCACGCACAGGCGGCGTTTTATCGGGGGTTAGGTCGCTGAACAAGACCTTCAACCTGTGCCTCATTTTTTTACCTACCACCCCAATATAGTTGATATAACTAGAATACGCTTTACAACTAGATATTTTACCGCATTGACATCTCCTAGTTAAACTGTAGCTTCACCGTGGTACGATACCAGGGCCCAACAAGGAGCGCCTTAAACCCACACTGTCCGCTTCCCATAATCACAAGAAGTTCAGATGGCTGATTTCATTGTCGCAAAGCAATCGATAAAATACCAAATCATACAAATGGTGGCACGATGGAACATACTAACAGACAGAACACAATTAAAGTGATAGATAAAAGGAACAAGATAGTAAAACATTTCACCACTAACAGAGATCCGACTGTCCATGTCAAAACATGGACTAAAATGATTAAGAGCAAGTTCCATCAAACATTTAGATGTCACCTCAGTTGAACTGAAAGAAAAGTAAATTAGCGATAATGGTACGAAAAAGCGACTAGCCAACTGTTTTTTTTATTTTTTTTAGCATTTGGTGAGCCCATTTGGCTAATTAATTTAGCGAAATGCGCTCAGCTGCTGCAAGCGAGCTTGACAGCATGTAGCAATGTTTTTAATATTGCTTGACTTCCTGGCGTTGAACTCCGCTCTGCATGTGATGTTTCGACAAATGATCTGTATATTCCTGATACGGAGTCTTTCCCAGAGGTTGATCTTTCCAGAGATCAGGGGTAAGATAGCTGTAGGTTTTTGAAATTGCGTTGAACGTGGCTTTCGCTGAAATAGAAACACACAAAGTTTATTCAACAGTTTCATTTTTTTCAAAACTAATATATAATTTCAAAATTTTGTTATGAAGTCCGTTCTCAATATATCTTGACCAGGTTATTCATATTTTAATCAGTGTTTATTCAAGTTTTTACCTCATTCAATACACTTTCTATATGCACATCAAGTTCTTTCACCTAACTTGATATGGCACTCCATGAACGCATGCTAATAATGTTAAGTTGTACTCCACCAGGGCATAAAATTTTACTTCAATTACCCATGCAATATGTAAAAGTAAAGATAAAGCTACGTGTATTACAGAATAACATACCAAAATTTCCAAGTGTGGCAGTCTGTCCACGGGCAGATGTGTAACAGTCCTCTAGCCCTGCCATCTGCAGCAGTTTCTTTGGAACAGGTGCAGAGACAATGCCAGTACCACGAGGTGCAGGAATGAGTCTCACATGGACACTACCGCACTTACCATGAACCTGAAAAATTGTGCGATTCAAAGCGATTTACAATTTTAAGTAAGTATGGGCGACAATTTACAAAAGTTGAACTAGAAACGTTGGTTACAATCTCATATTTGCCTTTGTAGAGATAGATATACAGTCCCAATCTCTGATGATTTCTTTTGAGGACTATTGGGCTGACATATAGACAGTAGGTTTAACATTTAAAGCAGCTACACAAGATGTGCACTGCCAAGAAGTACAATGTTTATTCACACAAAAAGTCAAGTACAGCTCGTATCATTGGTTGGGAAAAGTTGCTATCAACTACAGTGGATTTCCTCATTACAGGCAAATGCTTCAGATCAGCTTTTCTCATCAAATATTTTCAAGAGTAGCAAATATTTTTCTGAACATCATTAGCATTTGTCGTAGATTTCACTTGGCTTTAAGATTGACAAATATTTAGCAGAAGTATATTAAATTATCATCGCTGATATGTATAAATGATCTGACACAAAGATCTACATTTATATTGCAAGATTCAGCTTTTTATTATACAGACAATAATACTGCTGAAACCAAACAAATCATTACCACGAAATGGAAATTACCATACCTTGCATGGTACTGTATGGGGTTTTCCAATTTTGTTTCCCCAATAACCCCGCCTGATCGGGATGATAGACAATTTAGCTAAGATGATAGCTCCCCGAATCGCCGTAGCAACTTCTTTGGAACATTTCACTCCTAGACCGACATGACCTTGGAAGTCACCAACTGCCACAAATGCCTAAAAAATAGGTTGGAAATTAAATTTCAAATAAGTTTAGTAGACCTGATCAATAATAATACAAAATTATTATTTGCAGAGCATACTTATGTAAGAATTTATTAAAACTCAAGAATTGAAGAAATCTCAGTTCTATTGCACCGAATTGTAGTTTAATGATATTACTGTTTTTATTAGGCAAAAACAAAAGACTGCCATGAAAAAATAGGCTACTATGTCAACTGTCAAGAGTCTTCTCGCTATCTGTATGCGACTAAAGTCAATATTTCTAAGTAAAACTAAGCAAGGTTATGCTTACTCATTTGAAAAATTAAAAATGATAATATCTGAGTGAAATTACAGGCGAAAACAAAAATACCAAAAACTATGCAAGACTATTAACTTATATTGACGAATTGATCGTCAGTAAATACATATTGATGAAAAACAAATAGCTCATGTCAATACAATTCCTGAATCTTGGAATCAAGAAATCAGGCATGAGAGAATGGATACACATTAATGAAAAGAAAAGTCTGGGCATATTTTTTCATGCAGTAGTCACACTGACAGTTAATGCATAAGTGCTCACAGTCAAGTGAAAGCATTTTGGAAGGACAAGTTCCGAAAGCTACTGTGAATTGATGTCATCGAAGCTGTTAGGTCATTTTGAGCGCAACTTTATAATATTTAGTCACTGTGTAAAGTCTAGGTATTTTCGAACAAAATATTTCATTGGTTAGTATACCAAGACAAAAGGTCCAAAAAATCCTCAAAAAAGATAGCACTCTTTAAAAATAAAATCATGCATTTCAATGTGATCAGAAAGAGAAGTATTTTCAAATTGAAAATAGATAATGTGACAATTGACTTTTGTTAGCTATTTTAAATTACGTTGTTTTTTTATGCGACTCCTTACAACTTTATGGTTTGAAATTTGTCTACGACACTAAAAAAGGGTCACGAACCAGTGTTAAATCTGATTGAAGCACCAAATATTTATTATTACCTTGAATCTTGTTCTCTGTCCAGCCCTGGTTTGTTTCTGAACAGGCATGATTTTTAGAACTTCATCCTTCAATGCGCTACCAAGGAAATAATCAATGATCTCAAACTCCTTGATTGGGAGTGAGAAAAGATAGATTTCCTCAAGAGATTTGATCTTTCCATCTTTGACCAAACGACCCAGTTTTGTGACCGGGGTCCAGGTCTTTTCGTCGTCTTTCCCACGACCCCTGCCGCGTCCTCTACCTCTTCCGCGGCCTCGTCCTCTGCCGCCACGTCCACGGCCTCCAAAACCTCCACGGAATCCTCCTCCACTGGCTGGTGCTGCGTCCGCCATGCTAAAAATGGAAATACATAGTTTACCTGATTCCAGCCACAAAAAACATGAACCAAAAAAACATACGGTACCGGTACGTCCCAAAGTTACCTCAAAACTATCGTTCGCCATTGCTGGCCGAAAGTAAATCATTTTGCTGTACTAATTGCAACATTTATCCGAGGTTTTAAACAAATAAACGAAATATTTCACTCCAATCCTACAAAACACTTTTTTTTTTGTGAGATCGGGCCAAAATAAGTCGAAAATATCAAGATTATAGCAGATTAAATTCAGAAGCAACCAAGACTTACTTGTGTGGTATCAAAAAGACTTTGGTCAAATTTTTGTTATGCCTCGTGCGGCCACGTGACGTAGTCAGCCATGCGTGGAATTATGTCTCCAAAAGTATCCCAGCGTGCATTTCAATTATAAGTATCAGTTTATTTCGACTCCATAATCACCATAACAGGCGATAAAATAATTGATAAAAACAAATAAATGAAAACTAAATATGACGTCAAAAGAGCAAACAGAATATATAAGATGGGAGGTTAGAATCGAATATTGCCAAATTATACTCCATGGTAATAAATTGGTTATAAGGGTTTTATTATAGGTTTTTCCCCAATTATAGACAACAAATTCAGACGAGGATATTGGAATAAAGTTTATTATTCCACAGGATCACTTTGGGATTACGTGGATGATTCATCAAAGTCTTTGTAAATGTTTTTTATGTAGACTTTATTTGATCATTGCGAAGCAGCCTGAAAAATGAAAAATAAATCTACGAGTACATGTTCTTATTCCTTTAAAGGTAACATTGTGAACTATTGTTTTGGGACAAAGAAATTGTTCAATGAAATTAAGGAGGTATTGTTCATTAAATATCAGTCATTATGTAAAAAGGGTCGGAGGCTCCAGGAGGAATTACTGTTTGAGACGCAGAAGTAATTATTGCACTATGCAAAAACACTCAACTTTGATCATAGCACACTATATACACTTTGGTCACCAAGTCAACTTCACACCTTACCTTAACACAAAATGCATGCTTACATAAAAGATAGAAAACCACATCAAATTAAAATCACCATCAGCAAACTGAAATGTAAAGGGTAGAATCCAATATAGCTCGACTGCTGGCTTAGTTAATTAGTAATTCTGCAGGAACTAATTATATTGTCTACAACCCTCATCATGAAATACCACCACTCAAACACAAGAAAATTCATGCATGCGTAATAGGAATGATCTCACATCACGGGAGAGGTTAGGAGCATGCACATGCAAGTGTCAGAATGTGAACAGCTATTCGAAGAAATTCCATCTAACCAAGTATGTCGATTAACACGCCATAAATCATACATAGCATTACATATCCCGCTACGAATATTTTGTAGGGGAAAGTGGGGAAGGTTGGGACACTTTTTTCTTTTGCGTATTTTAGCCGTTTATCCTGCACATTCACTTAACTGTGCGGGACTAATGGAGAGGAGGGTAAATGTAGTTTTTATTCAGCGACTAAGAAATTTCCTTGCGATGCACCAGAGGCGTAGCCAGCGTATTTTGCGCCCGGGGCAAAATATAAAATTGGCGCCCCGACCCCCACGTTCAATCATGTTTACAATTGTATTTAATTGTATATGTAAAAACAAATTATATATCGTCACGCTAATAACCGAATTGCGTAAGTCATTTTTAGCTGTTTTGAGAAAAACGTAAAAAACTTCCTAATGATATTTCTATGCCATTGAGATTCATTAATTTGCCATAGTTCAACTTTTTGATCGTAGCCGGATTTAAGTTAATTTGTATGACGCAGTCATGTGACGTCATAATGGCGCGCTGTGACTTAGGCAAAAATGTGTCTATGACTTGGGACATACGCAATTTTGCAACTTGACTATATGTACCAGTCCTGAAAACCAAACAATCCAAAATCCCTAATCTGTTTCAATTACATTATTTTTTATGTTTAAAAATATATATTTCATCAATATAACACGCTCTGCACACCACAGAAATAAGACTAAAGTTAAATATAAAGAATAAAACAGTAATGTACCCTTTATAAAAGACAACCAAGGTGAATTGGACTCACAAGTGCACGTCCTCCTATACAGTAGTATAAATTGAAAATTATTAGCGCTAAGCTAGAATCTGAGATGCAAAAACTCGAAAATCCTTCGCCGAGGTTATTTTGCCTTTTGCAAAGCTATACAAAATAGAGCATATGTCCCACTCAGTTACTGTCAAAGATGATTTACATAGTCTATAATAAATTCATTTTTTCAATTTCACTTTCCTAAACTGGTTAACACGTCGTCAAAGTCTGTTTTTTTCCAATGTTTCTCTTTCAACACTTAGAAGTGCAAAATCACTGAGACGATCCTGTCCCGTTGATGCACGCGAATACCACAAAATAAGTTTCAATTTGCTGAAAGACCGTTCACAGCTTGCAATTGAAACTGGTATTGTTAACAAAATTTGTAGAGAAATTCGCAGATTGGGTAAAACGTTGTCTCCAAAAGACACAATGAAACCAAGAAGAGCCAAAGGAGTTTCTGGTTGACCTACAGTTCTGCTACTGAGCAGCATTCTGCAATCTCCAATTTCGGTGAAAAGTTCGTGGCCATTGATGTCCGTGTCGTAGAAATTTGCAAAATCTGTGCAATCTCGACGAATTGTCGAAAACGGCATTGGGGTCTTTCAGCACAGTATAATATATTTTATGTAACTCTGCCGCAAAGTACGGTACTTTGACAAGAGCGAAATACAAAACCACGTATTACTCAAAACATGTTTCCGTTTGTCTCCAGCACAGAACTAATATCAACTTACATCGGAGTGCGCAGGCAAGAACTTAACGATACAGAACCACGTCATTAACCCGGTGCATTTTGTTACCTAACGTTACCAAATCAAATTTTGCTTTGTTTCCCAGCAAGATTTTTTGGCCATGTAATTACGATGGAAATCTGACCGTGCGCGAGCTATGTGCGTGATGATGTCGGCAGTCGTAAGTGGTCTGACCAAGTGTGCAGTTTGCCATGTACTAAGACTAGATGTCTGCCGCCGGTGCGATCTTGCTTGTGACTGTATTTTACCCTTGTGAAATTTTTGCAAGCCCCATTTTGGCGCCCCTGTACCTTGGCGCCCGGGGGCATATGTACCCCACTGCCCCCCCTAAGCTACGCCTCTGCGATGCACATCTTACCGCCAAAATGCTTTGAAAAACGTTTGTTAAGTGTCCCACTGTACCCCACTTGTGGGGCACATTCGGACAGACCATGGGTAGGGTTACCATATTTTTGTGGCTTCAAATCGGGACGCCCCGAAAGACAACGACCCCTTAGCTGTGATTTTATAACTTCACATTTTCCGATTTTACTACATAGGCCCACATTCCTACATTTAAAGCTGTCTCGGCTGTCTTTATTGACCATATTGTTATCGAAATTTCATGCGCATATTCTCTGTCAAAATATCGGGTTCAGTTCGAAAAAATAGGAAGGACTTGACGTTAACGATACCGGTACAAATAATTCGAATTTAGACTAATTAGTATTGGTTTTACATGCGATACGTCTGCCATCAATGGGAATCAGTGGGAAACGAACGCATTCGCCTTCAGTAAGTAGGCTAGCGCTGCGCTACAAAGAAACAACAGTAACGAGAACATGTTTGTGTATTATGCTGGAAAAGCGGGACTTTGGGCTGACTTATCGGGACGGCGGGACAAAACGCTGAAAAGCGGGACTGTCCCGCCTAAAGCGGGATGTATGGTAAGCCTAACCATGGAGCACAATGGGTCATTCTGTCAAAATGCAACGATGTATTCCTTTAAAAATAAGCAATCAATCATCCTAATCGTCTAATAAAGAACAAGAAGACTTCAAATTTGAAGATTTAGGATTTTTAAAATCAATGTTCAACCGAAATATTTCAGCTATTGTATCAAAATATTTAGCAAACAAATTAAATTATTTTTTTTCTCAAATCTAAATCTGGAAATATTTTTGATTCTCGAATATATTCCATATTGGGCCATGGGTAAGGATGCCAAGTATGAGTACTTACAAGTATTCGATTCTTATCCGATTCCTAAATTTTCGATTCCGATTCTCGATTCCGAATCTCGATTCCTCGACATATTACCGAAAAAATATACCCACCCAAGCAATACCATATGAAATCAAGCAAGACAGCGATGTTCAAATTCTGGACGGACAAGAAGGCCGAAACTAAGTAGTATGGGTATCCAATCTGCCACATGAGACAAAACCGCACAAAAAAAAAACGAATCCCTCAGAACCCACAGAGATTTTTAAAATAAATAAACGTTAAAGCCTACTAGCGATATTTATAATATATATATTATATATAGTGAAGTTTGCGGTGTCGTAGCAACTCAACATAGCAGTGAAGCAGTTTATACATATATATATGGAGAAATTGCCACAAAACGTTACACATTGTTTGCAATCCAATTTTAAAACTCGAGAATCGATTCCGGTGCATCGGAATCGATTCTAGTCGATTCCGCGAAGAATCGATTCTGTAATCGAATCCGGACTCGATTCCGCCATCCCTAGCCATGGGTCGAAAGATACCATAATATTACACAACATATGACCCATCTGTAGGTCTCTAAGGACTTATTGTATCAAACACTGTCGAATTGTGCCATGTAGGGCATGTCCCACTGAACCCCGGTCCATTGTTCCCCATAATAAACAAATACTTTCAGACCATCCCACGGGGAAATTCGGAAGGCATATCCACTCGCCAACGTTATGAATATTCTACAGTAGGCTGAAACTAAGAAATATCATACCATGGCCTGTCACGTTGGAAATGCTAAAGTAGAAAAAAGAAAAAACTAGAATAGTGAAATTTTGGTTTCAACCCCCCAAATCCAATTTCACGTCAAAGCTTGCGTCGCTCTACCCGGCCGTTGTCCGTTTGCGGGGACGTTGTAACTCACCGAAGGGCGGATTGAAACATCGAACTGAGGACCGGATATGGTATCGGTGTGAGAGTTGATTTTCCACTGTGCCCCATTCCCAACGTGCCCCACCTTCCCCTACCAGACTTTGATTAAAAACAAAACTAATTAAAATTTGAAAGCGGTTAAAAATAGCACAACAACACGCCTAATCACAGTACCCAGTAGTTGCAGGGACAATAACATTATTATTATAGCTGGTAGCTGCCCAACATTCTCATTAAAATAACAATGTGCAAGCGAGGAGGAAGAGGAGTGTCCCAACTTTTCGTCATTGCGCACCAAAAAGAAGCTCATTTTACTCGAGGTTTGATATTTG